ATAACTTGGCCTGTTGTAGGATTGATGGTCTCAAAACGTTTGCCATCAACCGAGTCAACAAATTCGTTATTAATAAAAAGACCAGTATAAACTATATGATAATAATAATAATAATAATAATAATCGAGATTAGATTAAAATGTATCATAATGTATCAAAAATATATGTATAAAAATTACGTACCTTTAACGGTTTCACCGTTAGGCAATGTAATGTTTTCTTCGAATTTCGAGCTCATATTATTACTAAGAAACAAGATAATCAAGTCTGATGTAGATTATATATATATATGATGTTTTTTTTATCTATGATCGTGACTTGATTAAGTGTCAAGTTTTTTCGGGAGCATGCATGCTTAAATATATTTTGGTTTTGGTATATTATTTCCATAAAAAGAGCTGAATATAGTAATCAAGATTTCTCGATTTCATATAATTAATGAAACTTATTTTTAATGCGCTATTACGTAGCCAACACAAACGATCTCTATATAAGAATATAAAGGTTTTCACTGTACGTAGGCACGTCTCGGCAATTTAAGTACCGGGTGTTTCAAAAGTTTCACTACACGGTCCCTTTTTTTAAGTGACTTTTATACAGTTATATAGGAAAAAGGGACGAAATTGACAAAAAAAAAGATCGGAAAATCATAAAAAAATGCAAAATTTTATTAATAGAAAAATGATCCTAATCTTGTTATTGGTTTATATAAAAAAAAATTGCTTTTGAAAAAATTGTTATTTTCCAGCACCTAACCCATATATAGATCACGATGATAATCATCGTCTATACAGTATATAAAGGTACTTTAAAAAAAGGGACCGTGTAGTAACACCCGTATATTACTGACTTTAAATTATATAATGTGTTTCATACTAAATTTTTGCATTAATAGACATTTTATATTAACGTCGTTACTGAACTCGATAATAATCAGTAAAATACTTAAATTGCCGAGTTGCCTTTTTCCCTTGGTCGCTCATATATGTATGTTTATGGAAATGCATATATATCAACATTTTTTTTTATATGACCTTGGTCACATAATCATATGACATTTTAGTCATAGTCATATCGGTCATATTTTAAAACTAAGTAAATTGTTTTTAGTATGTTTTTTTAAAATTTAAATTAAAAATATCTCAATGACTATTAAACCAAACTTGGTAAAAATTTTTTTATTTAATTCTATAACCATATAGAATTAAAATAAAAAATTTTTATCAAGTTTGGTTTAATGATTGTTTAAATGTTTTAATTTAAGGTTTCAAAAATTTATTTAGGAACAATTTCTTGGCACCCCTCATATATGAATCTTATATTAAAAAAGGTCATAAGTCATATAAATCTTCATTATGACCAAATGACCTATGACAAGACATAAAGGTTATATAGGTCAAAACGATATATCTTACTAGTGATCCAAATCGGCAGTTGAAAAACCAACTAGTTGACAACTTTCCAACTAATCGATTTGAAAAATTTTGAAACTAGTTGATTAAATCATCAACTAGTTAAATTCCGAGATATTCCATCGGTTCGTGTTGATTTCTTTAGTTTGATTGGCCAATCAACAAATTTAGTCACATGATAGGAAAAGTTGATTAGTTGCACCTATAATTGACAACTAATCGATTGGAACAATTTTTACCAACCAGCATCGCCACAAAATTCTACTGTCACGTGATCGTACAACCAAATTCTTAAGTTCGTTAAGGTTAGGGCTAGTGATTACATTAGAGTTTAAGGTTAGGAAGGTATTAGTAAATTTGCTCAAGGAATTTTTTTAATTAGCACGAAAAGTGGTTTCTTATGCTACTTTTTGAGAAATAAGTGACAGTATCGGTGGCGATGCTGGGATAGTTGAAACGATACACCGCCAAATTGTTACACAAAATATAATTGTAACATGGTTAAAATGCATATATCCGTCTGATTAATAACACCCCACGTTACAATTAGAGTTCGTAACGATCTCACTGTGTCCCATTTAAGGTCATAGTATATCGATATATGGGGTCTTTGCCTTGAAAATGACCTAGTAATTACTATACCCCATAAGGTCATTTTCAAGGGCAAAGACCCCATATATATGTATATGTACGTCGGAATTCCCAAATTAAGGATAGGAATTATAGTCATTAGTCAACTAATCTACTAGTTAACTAATCTACTAGTCAACTAATCGACTAGTCAACTAATCAACTAGTAGTGCTTGTAGTCGATTTTGCATTAATCGATTTTATCGTCTTATTCAGCCGATTTTTTGAAAAATCGGCCTAGTCGATTTTATGTAGACTTTTATTAAAAAATTACAGCAATCAAATTTAGGCCGATTTTATTGGTTACATTATCTCCCGAAAATTTCGAAAAGAAATTCAACGCGGATAATTTCCGAAAGTTAAAGATGATTGATCGACTTCGACTTAGCCGGTTAAGCCGCGATTTTTAAATATCGACTTAGTCAAGTCGATAAATAATGATCGACTACAAGCACTATCAACTAGTCAACTAATTGACTAGTTGACTGGTCGACTAGTCGACTAGTTGACTAGTCGATAGTCAACTAATTGACTAGTCGATAGTCAACTAATTGACTAGTCAACTAATCAACTAATTGACTAGTCAACTAATCAACTAGTTGACTAATCGACTAGTTGACTAATCGGATAATCGAATAATTAATTAGTAATTATTGCAGTTTCAAAATTTTGTAAATTTTGTAGATCAAAAAAAAAAGAAATCGATTATGATTATAAGTGATTTCCGATTTATGTAGACTTTAAATTAGATTTGGATATTATGTAAAATTTCACGTATAAAAAATATAGTAGACTCTAATTTAATTAACGTGTGGATTTGTATACTTGATAATTCAATATTATTTGAACAAGTCAATTCATGTTTACAATTCATTTTAAATTTGTTTATTAATCTTTAGAATCAACTTATTCAACATTTTTTGACTTTTAGACTAGACAAAATTTGCGCATTTATCATTTGTAAAAAATTTGATAATGTGCAACTCTTATTTCTGCAAATATATTACAAAATGATGAATATGAAACTTTTATTCTATAAAAAATAACAAAATTTTTACAAAATAATAAATGCGCAAATTTGTCTAATCTAAAAGTCAAAAAACAATGTTGAATAAATCAGAAATCAGTAGTGATGGGCCACGCGTGGGATGCGCGGGATTTTTAATGAGATTATTTTGGCCTGCATTAGCATATCATCTGACTTGCATGAAATATCATCCGGCTTGCATTAGCCAAATTCTAACTAGTAAATTGATATAAAACTTTTTATTTGTTTATCATTCTATATATCGATATATGCGTATACTTGATTTAAATTTTTTTTGCCATTGGTAGTTCTTACTTACTATTCCTTGTTATAATACAACCATTATTAAGTCATTCTTTAAATAACGTTATTTTAACATGGGTGTTAATAAATAGCTGCTCGATACGTAAGTATCGAGGCAGCTTTTGTCTCGAATCATGTACTATCCGATCGAACATGTGATAGGCCCGTTTACGGTCACATGTTCGATCGATGACCGATCGATCGAACGAAAGTATGAGGTAATTGGAGTAGTTAATTATGTGGTAATTGATTGAAGTATGATCGTTGAGTTAGTATCTTGGTTAGTATGAGGTAATGGAGTAAGTATGTAATAATAGAGTAATTATGTAGTAATTGAGTAATTATGAGGTAATTAGTTTGTAGTATATTAGTAAGGTTTGGGAAAAGTGTGGTAAGATAATTTTGTCTTTTCTGCGAACCCGACTTTCGTTCTGGTTACATCGAGCACAAATATTATTATTAGTTTAGAAAATTTTGTCTTCATTTTAGTAGCATTTTCATTTTATTTGGTCTGTATGGCTAGCGTTTCAGGTAAGAATAAGGTAACAGTAAGTGAAGAAGAAACGACGCAGTCTGCTAGTGATGTGGAACCATCATGTGGCCAAGTCAATTTCGAAGCAAATTTTGGCCGACTTTCTCTTAAGATGTTAAAGTTTTTGTGTCAAGGGATGGGTATTTCTGATGCTGGTCTGAAACAGGAGTTGGTTGGTAGATTGGTTAACGAATATAAGAAGAAAGAGGAGTCATCTGGTGAGCTGTTTGTGAAGGGTAAGGCTGTGAACATAGATAATGAGATGGGAGATATTGAGTCATTTCCGAGTGCTCGTGATTATGGGCATATGGCCGGCGGTGGTAATTTCATTGATGAAAACTTGGGAGAGAAAATGCCTAGTTTTAAACAGTCTTTGCGGTTTCTTGGGGCAAGGGAAAGGTTCACGTCAGATTGTGATAGTGAGGATTCAGGTTTGTGGGGGAAGTGTACTTTGTCGAAACCAAGAAATCAATGGAAGTTTAACGAGTGGTGCAAGGCTGGTATGCTAATGGATAAGGCATTGAATACAGGAGAGATTGATTATTTGTTGTTAGCTAGACAGGTGGCGTTGGAAAGAGCATACGTGGTCAGGGTTGCAGATGAGGATGGTTGGGGCATAGCTGCAAAGATGGTTTCGAATGATTTGCTAGACCCAATGTCACAACTTTTTGGAGGAAAAAGAGAAAAGGCTAGACTGGCAGCTCAGAGTTTGTCAAAGAATAAGAAACCTAAGGTCGGGCATGATAGGAGTCAAAAATTCGAGGATGAGAAAAGCAGTTATCAAGGCTGTATACCGAGCTTACAACAGGGACAACCAATTGCTCCTGTTTTCCTGCAGGCACATCTGTCAATGATGCCAGCTTGGCAACAGGTGCCTAATTTGCAAAATGCAGCAGTAACCGCTCCTGGGTTTGTGTTTGGTGGTATAAATCCTTTCGGTGCTAGACAGGTTTCGTTTCAGAGTAGGCTTTTACAGAGTCCGCTTCCAGAATCAGGAAATTTGAAACAGGGTGGTAAGTTTTCACCTGTGTCAGGCTTAGGGGGGAATAGAAGATTTGAGTCAACAAAAGAAATTGTTTGTTTCTTATGTGAAGGAAAGAGGCATTATGCGAATGAGTGTGGTTCTCGTAAGCATTTGAGTATGCCCTTTCGAGATGACGGGTCAAAGTCAAAAAGAAGCTGACAACACTTGGGAGATGAATTCGAGAAAAGAAAGGAAGATGTTAGTGGGCTGCAGTGAGGAATATGTAACGGGAAGGTTACATTCAGAAGCAGCAATAAAGTACTAGAAGGAGGTAATAAAACCTGCTCCGTTGATAGTGAACTGGTTGGAAAACAAAATCCCTCTTTTTCCAAAAGGTGTTATGAGGCTTGCAACACAAGAAGTTCCAAGGGTGCAGCCGTTTTCGATGGAGGAAAAGGAATGGATAGGGGGCAAGTTGGAATGGTTGAGAAAAGCTGGTGCGATAGAGCTAGTGTATCTAGGCAAGTAGAGACCGGAAATGCTGCTCGAAGTCAGCCCGGTGTTTGTAGTGTCCAAACAAGGACCAAAGAAATTTCATCTTGTGATAGATCTCAGGAGGTTAAACAAAACTCTCCCGAAAAAGACGTTCTAGTTCGAGGGTATAGGTTCGCTTTTGAGGACGGTGGGCAGGGATTGGTGGGTGTTAACCTTCGATCTGAAGGAAGGTTACCACCACGTATTGATGGACGATGTGGTGCAGCAGTTTCTAGGTTTTTGCTTCAACAAGATGTGGTTTTATTACAGGGTTCTACCTTTCGGCCTGAATCAGTCCCCGTAGATTTTCGCCAAGATAATGAAGGTGATGATAGGAAGTTGGAGATCAAGGGGAATTTTCTGTGGGAATTATCTAGACGATGTGTGGGTGGCACATCTGTCAAGAAAATGTTGCTTGATCAAAGAGACTTGATTATAGCAGGGGATTTGGAGAGATGCGGTTGGATTTGGGCAAAGGAAAAAGGAAGTTGGGACCCGATTCAGAAGCCGAGATTTTGTAGCCTTATTGTGGACACAGTGGAGAGGCTGGTTGTTGCTCCAGAAGAGAAGATTGCCAACACGGTTACGCAGCTGGAAGTTTTGTTAGAAGGGTCGGTCATATCAGTAAGGAAGCTAGCATCGGTAGCTGGAAGGATCCAGAGTCTGGCAAGGGCCTTTTCTTCAGCCTGGGTGAAGTGTCTAGAATTTTACAAACTGATAGATGCAATAAGCCATTGTTGGAACAATTGAGATACGAAGGTTACGCTATCAACGCAAGCAATAGAAGATGTGCATTGGCTTGCGGAAAACCTGAAAATTTGAAATGGTCATCCTGCGTGGAAGCCGTCAAGAGTGAAGGTAGTTTTCGTGAATGCATCGATAGTAGGTTGGTGTGATGTGTATCAGGAATCAGTGGCAGCTGGCAATTGGGCTTGAAATTTGTCAGCAGAATGTCATAGCCCAACTCGAAGCTATTGTGGTACTTCGAGTCTTACAGTCATTCGAAAGCCAGCTGAAGGGCTCTTGGGTCACGTTAGTTATAGACAACAAGGTAGCAGAAAGGTCAGTGGTGAATGGGGGTCCGTCGCAATGGCAAAAGGAGATTGCCAGGGAGATTTAGAGGGTGTGTGTGGAAAGGGATATAGAGATATATCGCACGAGATGGGTGGCAAGCGAAGAGAACCTAGCAGATGAGTTTTCAAGAATAGTGGATGTAGGTGATTGGGAGATGAAGCAGGAGGTAGTGGATCAATTGCAGGATCAATGGGGGTTTTCGATGTGGACAGATTTGCGAGCCATATAAATACGAGGCTAAGAAGGTTCAACAGTCTTTATCTCTGTCCAGGAACGAAAGCAGTGGATTGCTTCACACAAGATTGGAAAGGATGCATAAACTACCTATGTCCTCCGTTTGGCCTAATTCATCGATCATTAGTGCATGCAAAGAAGTGTGGCACCTGTATAGTGATTATTGTTCCAGTTTGGGTTGCGGCGCCGTGGTGGCCCTTGATTTTGCAAGCGAAAAGGGAGGAGATAGAATTGCCGTCTCCAATAGAGATTGTTCAACCAGGTCCGTCGGGTCATGTAGAACCATGCAACAACAAGCATTGGAGACTAATAGCAATTCGGATAGACTGGTCAAGGACCTCTTGAGACATGCAGATAGTTTGGCAGAAAATGCGATTAGCAAGGTTTATAGGAAAAGGCTAGACAGGGCGTGGAAGCTTTTCGTTGACTTTACTAGACAGGTAAAGCGTGTGTCTTGTCCCGCCTCAGACTCGACAATAGCAGCTTTTTTGGCTTGGTTAGAAATGTCTGGGCATGGTGTGGTGGAATTGCATGAATGTATGGCAGCAATTGCGAGGGTACATAAATTAAAGGGTTTGCAAGATCCTACTAAGATCGCTATGGTGCAGTTAGTTGTCAATGGCATGAAAAGAACTAGGGCTGAGGATGCAGAAGCGAAATGGCCTAGAGATCCATTGCCTGTAGAGGTTGTAAAGTGTTACTTAGACTTTCCGCCAGAGGGTGTTAGCTATGAAATGTGGGCTCGTGATTTGGTGTTAGTAGCCTTAGGTTTGAGAATAATGAGGCATCCTGAAGAGCTCTGTGAGTTAAGGAAGAAGGATTTGGAATTAAAGAATGGGTTATTGTAAATAAGGATTAATAAATCGAAGATGGATCAGTTAGTGAAAGGAAAGTTTGTTCCATTGGAGCTGTTTAACAGTAAATATTGTCCGGTTAGAAGAATAGTTGAGTATTGGAAGATGAGACCAGAAACAGGGGACGATGCTCCTTTTTTCTTGTCGAAGTCAAAAGGAAAGATGTCAGTGTCGTCAGTTACGGCGGTGGTTAAGCATGTAGCAGAGCATGTGAATTTGAAAGGGAAGTTTACAGCTCACAGTTTAAGAATTGGGGGGGCTACAGCAGCCATGAAGGGTAGAATGTCACTAGAGCAGATTCAAGCTATTGGGAGATGGGTTTCAGATGCTATAAGATTGTATGTGAGATCGGTGGGGATAGCTGAATTGGGAGCGTCAACTTTAATGGGTTTTGCAGGTTGAGTTAAGCTGTTGTGTGCAAGTTTAGGATAGGTGTGTGCTGCGAGTAGTACAATATTATTGATCATTGCAAGTTTTCGAATGATACTCTGGAAAACCCGTTTATTGTTCTACATAGTTTTTTGTACACAGAAATGAGAAACAAACAAAATAGCTGCTCGATACATAAGTATCGAGGCAGCTTTTGTCTCGAATCATGTACTATCCGATCGAACATGTGATAGGCATGTTTACGGTCACATGTTCGATCGATGACTGATCGATCAAACGAAAGTATGAGGTAATTGGAGTAGTTAATTATGTGGTAATTGATTGAAGTATGATCATTGAGTTAGTATCTTGGTTAGTATGAGGTAATGGAGTAAGTATGTAATAATAGAGTAATTATGTAGTAATTGAGTAATTATGAGGTAATTAGTTTGTAGTATATTAGTAAGGTTTGGGAAAAGCGTGGTAAGATAATTTTGTCTTTTCTGCGAACCCGACTTTCATTCTGGTTACATCGATCCCACCCACCCTTCCCGCAGATTATCATTGTTTGAGTAGATCGACCTGCTGAAACGGCAGTCATTTGTAAAAAAAAAAAAAAAAAAAGGGGGCAGGGGTGGGTAGGTTATCTAGTTTTGTAAGTATTTCGAATTGTGACCTGTTCGGATGACAGTTGCGATAGTAAGATAGCCAGTCGGGACGACTGCTAGAAGCAATTAGATTTTTGATAATGATAATGCATAGTAAAAGCTTATATTAACTAGCCGATACTCGTGAAGGCTGCGTAGGTTGCTCGATGATGGAAGAGGCATACCTGTTTATTGTTCTACATAGTTTTTGTACACAGAAATGAGAGACAAACAAAACCAATTTAACATCATTTTGAAAATCTTGGGCCAGACCTAGATTATAAACAAGGGTGTGCTAAATGTATGATTATTTTAAATATATTATTTTAACAAGAAATTATCTTTCTAGTGATAATCTTTATATATATTTTTTATAATTCATGAAAATTAAAAAAAACTCTACTATATTCCGCGGATTCCGCGCGGAATCCCGCGTGGGATTTTTAAAAAACTGCGATTTGCCCATCGCTAGAAATCAGTAATCGGAAAAAATCATTTTTTGAATGAAAAGATTTACAAATTGTACAAGCCACAAAATTAATGTACAGTATAACCTTGATATAACGATAACGAAGATTATTTCTAATTTTCATGTTTAAATTGGCCCGATATAACGAAACTACTAATAAGTTTTGATATAACGAAGCAAACCCTCTAGATCCAGAGCTTTGTTATATCGAGGTTATGCTGTATTCTACCATAAATAAGCACCACACCCTCTACCTTATTTTTTTAAATATCAGATTAACAGACATCACAATGAGATCTTTAGCTAAATTATTTCCGCTAATCTGGCATTAAAAAAATGGGGTAGAGGGTGTGGTGCTTATTTACGATAGAATACGGTAATTTACATTCCTTTATAAAGACATGCATAGAATATAGCATTCTAAATCTTCTTTTTTTTTAAAATCGGGTTAAATGAATGCCAAAGCTTTGAACAAATGTTACATAAATGCCTTTTTTAAACTTAAAATGACGGCAGGCATTAGAGTAATTTATGTTCTTTCAGATCATAGTCGATAATCAAAAAGATGCTTTTTTAGACCTTCAAATGACGGCAGGAATTGGTGTAATTTATGTTCTTACGGATCACAGCCGATAATCAAAAAGATGCTCTTTTTGGACCTCCAAATGATAATAATCATCAGTGTAATGTATATTCTTTTAAAGATGCCTTTTTTAGATCTTCAAGTGATAGAAAATATCAGTGTAATTTATGTCCTTTTGGATCAAAGCCGATAATAATAAAAAAAAGAAACGGGTTATACAAATTTAATGAATCATTTAAATACGAATATGGGTACAGTTAATGGCATTGTAATTCTGTATTTGAACATAATTAGTTTGTTTAGTTTATTAAA